TGGATTCCTGCTTCCTCAACTTCTGTGGGAGCAGCTGCCCCTTGGGTTCAGACGCTGGTTTATATAGGATAATCATCTTGGGCTAGAGCCTGCCTGAGCTAAAGCCTGCCTGATCCTACCCCTCCAAGGAATCCAGCATCAAGTCAAGAATCTCTTGGCACTGAGAAGTTCAGGCTGATCAAAAAAGATGTCAAAAACCTGATCATGTCCCATTCCCAGATATGGAGCTATTTAGTTAATCAACAGAGATGGTAGAATTACCCTTGATTTAGCTCCACACCAAGTTTCCCCAAAGATAGCACTTCTAGCAGAGTCAAAAATCGATTTCTTTTTTAAACTGTTTATTTTTATTACAGGTTTGCACAAAACAATAATACAGTCTTCCTTCTCTTTTCTTATTGAATACAACATTTTATAAATTCCATAACTACTCTCTAGAAAACGGGGCTTTTACCACAGTGGAATCTGATAAAATACACTCTATTAGCAAAGGCATTGGAGAGATTTTCTTTTGCTTCGGGAAGGACTAAAAGAGCTGTCTTTAAGAAAATTGGAAATGGCAGCAAAGCTCATTTCCTATGTTCCTACCTATGCTGCTTTTCCTAGGGGCAGCTCTTCATCTCCCAATAGCCTCAATGGGGAAATATTTTCGAGTATCTCATGCTCTTCTTCCATTTATTGAACCTCTGAAATGCATTATTAGAGCCAGGATACACAAATACCAAGGATACTGCTGCGCATCCCAAAGCTGTTTTTTAAATGTTTAAAGAGGAGAATTCATTTCACTAACTCAAATGAGTTTCATTAATTGAAAATAAAGTCAAGGAAATATAATGATTTTCATCATAGGCAAAGTATTTGTCGCTTCATGTAATTCTCATTCCTCTTTTACCTCTTTGTTGGCTCTGTCTGCTTGAACTAAAGTTCCATTCAGGCATGGTTCTACATAGTGGAGTTCTTCATTATACTGCAGAGAAACAGAAGATAAAACAAAAAGGTGGGGCAATTAGCTTTTGAAAGATCCAATTTAAATTAAAAACAATGCAAACATGCAGATGGTACAAAAATAACATAAGCTTCAACGCTTTCTTTTCAAACGCATAAACATTTTGAATAGCTTTTTAAAAAAATCTGAATCATCCCTATGGTATAACATAGCTTAAAACTTCCTTGACTATATGCTGTCTTTTCAACAATTCAGCTTATATAACACAGGGGGAAAGTGTATGCATTTGAAAAGACATAATTGAAGTTCATGTTGTTTTTGTACCGTTCTGGGAACAACTGGAGAAAACATTTTTGAGTAATCCTTCAAAAATAGTGTTGCCCAACATCTTTATTGATTTAAAAAGTTGCAAACCAGCACAAAAGTCTTTGGGCTTGATTTTGCTTGCTTTCACCTCTCACACACATTCAGGAAGATCTGAATCAAAACCCAGAAACTGGAAATAATCAAATGATTCTTATCAAAATGTATGTGAACTAAAAGATGGTTACAGAAATATATTTCCTTGGGGATTGCATGCTGATACAGTGCTTGCGTCTTATTAGGTATTGCCGGTGAGTAGCATTTTTTCACATTGTATTGTGACCCCCCCCCCCATTTAATGAAACAAAGCTCACCCGCTCACCCTTTCTAACCAACCAGTCTAGTGGCAACTTGCTCCATATTGGACATCTGCCTCCATCACTCATGTGGACAGTTCGGTGCTCTCTGACAATCCTTAATTGATTACCCTGGCTCACCAGAAAGGTTGTTTCATTTGGACCATGTCAACCATTGCTGAATATTAATCTGATATTAATAATACCATGTGAATATAGTCATCTCCTTGCTGATTTGTGCATTCATATTTATTTAAATATCTTATTTATTTTCCAATATTAAAACCACTCCATCAGTTGCCAATTAGATTCTGTACAAAGTGTTGGTTATTACCTTGAAAGCCCAACACATTTCAGGTCCAAGTAACCCATGGGATCTCCTTTTCTCCCTGGACACTGAGGTCTTCTGGGGGAGCAGCTACTCCAGCCTGCCAGAATCTCTCTGGCAACCATCACCCAGAGGACCTTTTCATTGGCTGCCACAAGACTGTGGAATGACTTGCTGGAAGGGATCTGGCAGCTAAGTGAGCTGTCTGAGTTTTAAAAAGATTTCTCTCTTCTGGAAGGCTTACTCTATCAATTTTAAACTATGACTTTTAAATTGACATTTTATAAGGATTTTAATGTGCATTATTATTATTAATTATCAACCCCACTTTCTATTCTGACATCTCAGCAAAACAAGAAAATTATTAATGTTAAATAAATATACCAGTGATAATAGTTATTTGGCTAGATCCCCATTTTCCTGTTCAATGTTTTAAAATCCCCCTTCCTGACTATTTTTTCTGCATGAAATATGCAAACTAATTTTTGGGGTTTGGGCTGGAGGAAGTTTCTATCTGTTTCAACTTAGTTCCTTACCCTCCTTGCCTCTTTTCCTCCCCCTTTCTGCTGGCACCTCATAGCCAGTAGATCTCTGACATAAGCCGGTTAAAAAGAGGTTCTTCCAGTTGAAGGCAATTTCTACCTTTTAACTCAGTACACCTTTGAATAGGGTTTACATTGTTATTTAGACCAAACTAAACTGAGCAAAGACGGAGGATATGAAGTTTTTCTCCATTTCCCCCCTCTTTTCCAGATAATAAAACAATAATGCTATTTATGAGTGTATGTTTTTGTTTCTTTTGCTTTGTTCTTGTAAATTTTCCACATTGCTATGTCTGATACACTTAAACTGTATTTAAAAAACTTTATTCCAGCCAGAGTACAGATTCTGCATCTACAGATTCAACCAACCACATCTCAAAAAAGCCAAAAAATGTTCTTAAAACCAAAACTTTGGGTTGTTCCTAATTTAATATAAGGGATGCCCTTTTACTACATTATTGTATATAATGGTTCTTGAGCATCCATGGATTTTGAGATCCATTAGGGCAGTGGTTCTCATCCTGGGGTCCCCAGATGTTTTTGGCCTTCAACTCCCAGAAATCCTAACAGCTGGTAAACTGGCTGGGATTTCTGGGAGTTGTAGGCCAAAAACATCTGGGGACCCCAGGTTGAGAACCACTGCATTAGGGGATGTTGGAACCAAAGTCAGCCGATGCATAGTTAATTTATTGTAAATCTTTGTTTTTAGAGCAATCTTGTTAATTTAATGCTTGACTTAGAAGTTACTTCAAAGGAAAATCGAGGAAATCTTACTACATCAATCTCTGTTCTTGCACTGATAATCTGACCTTATATTGCAACTACACAAAATTGAGTGCATTGTTCAACAGTTCTTTTTGTAATTCAATCATCTAGTTCATCAAGTTTAGATAGATTTTTCTATGAGTTACCCATGAAAGTAACAAATGATTTTTTTACATTATCTTTTTATGTTTATACTCTGAAAAGTCCTGCACTGGACTTTTGTATGCCATTTATTCGTGGGTATATTTAGAAAAGAAATCATTGGAGGATTAAATGAACTCAGCATATATCAGACAAATAAGCCATCACTGAAACAGTTTTCAGTACTCAGTTACATATTTTAAGAGTTAATTAAAATGTTAATTATGACTATGTACACTGACTACAATTACCATTATTTTTAATGAGAATTATAGACATAATTATCTGCATGGTGCTTTGGGGGGGAAAACAAAACTATTGCAAAGGAAGACAGAAATATTTGAAATAAGTTCATGTTTTACTATAGTGGTTCCCAAACCTTGGTCCTTCCATTGTTTTGAATTTGCACTCCCAGAATTCCTGACTGTTGGCCAAGCTGGCTAGGGCTTCTGGAAGTTAAAATATGCACCCTTGCATGATCAAAATGTGAGTACTGAGAATAGAAGGGCAAAGTAGGATGATTACATCTTTAAAAAATCGCACAATTTGGGACATAATATTCCTATCTTCATGTGGGGTGTATTGCCACAGGAGACCTCAAATAACAATGTGGCAGGAGGGTCTCATTAAGTTGCCCCTCCTTGCATGCAGAAGCTTCAATGGAACTTCTGTTGAGGACAGGGAAATAACTTCTCTTAAATAGGAATGTAAAGAATACCTTTATCAAAAGAAAGGTCTTGACATATGAGAAAATGTGCAATGGCTGTGAGATTCAATTTTATTGCATTTTTATGCAAAAGCCTCATGTTCTAAGCTTTAAAAAATTGTTCACATACACTAAACAATATTTTTCATAAGAACAGAGTGTATTATGTATTTACCCCCACATTTTCCTGATTAATTATTCCTGAGGGAATATGGTTCTCAACAGAATTAAAGGTTGTCCACACTTGAAATAGAGAATACTGATATAGATAGACAAATGATTGAGTTTAATGCGAGGCTTCCTGTATTGAAGCCACAACATATTATTTTGCTGAACTACCTATCACTGACAGAGCAACCAAATATTCCAATTGAGGCACACATCACAAATGTGCTTCTTATGCCAAATTGGCCATCAGTATTCCAATATTACACCTGGCCTCTCTTCTTTTGCCTCTCTTCTTTTGCAACAAAGAAAATGAGTTGTTCTTGAAACTGTAGTTGATGTTTTTAGAAGAAGATCTATAGCAAGAAGCTAAGTATATCTGGGTATGGGCATGAAATTGTGGGAAATGCATGATATTGTGTTATTAGTATCCCAGGAGAATGCCTGTGCTGTGCCTGCAATTTTTTTTTTAAGATTGGTATCTCATGGAATTTTGTCCCCCGAATCAATCAACACAATGAACAGGAAAATAGGACAACAGAAAGCTTCCTGTAATATGCCACTTGAAAAAAGGCATATCTTGTGAGAAAACTACATATTTTTAAATGGAAACTAGCCCCTCCTCTTTAAAAACCACTAGTGGTTAAACTCTTTTATATAAGGAAGTTATTTACTGTACATGCTCATGTACAAATCAACCACAAGTATATGTTGAGGTCAGGGGTTTGGACCAATGTTATAGATTTTGTTATGATCCACATATCATGGCTACCACCAACAGTTCCTCAACCAGTTATTCAGAAAGGTCAGAAGTGGCACCACGAGGGAAAGAGTAGAGGGGGTTGGTCCTTCATTTAGGTTCTCTCTGGAAACCCTAAGCTCTTCTCTTTTGCCATTCTACTCAGAGAAGGAGAGACTCAAAGTATGGTACTTACACTGACCTGTGAATAAGAATACAAATTCTTACTGATACACGACTATGTAGAGAAATTGATGCAAACTACAATCACTAATATCTGTAACTGATAATTCCTGATTAACCAATAACTTAAATCCATTTAAATATTGCAGATAATATCTAATTGAATCTTTCCATTGTGAAAGTCTCAGTTTACTAATCTAGCAGAGAATTTTGTGAGGACAACAAGCA